TACTGTGACCAGGAACTGTGCCCCAGCCTTTGCCTTTCACGACACCGACATATCTGGACAGTACAAGCCAATTTGGAGAATGATTTTTCAATTAAGGTCTTCCCATTGTTTTCTGATAATGAGTCTGGTTATGCATTTCACAGTTACCACAGAGAAGTCCTGAAGCTCCAGATCTGGCACGGCAAGAAGAACATGTGGAAACTGCCCTGGTGAGGCCAGCTTTGCTTCCTTGGCCACGGTGGCACACGCCAGGTTTCCCCGCTGAAAGAACTGCCTCCCTCCAGTCATTACTCTAGAGAGATCACCTGAGACTGTGGAGCACTCACTTGTATTCGTATTACTATGATGGCTGCAAACTCACGTTACCAATTATTGTTCCTCCTTCGTTTTATTCATTTTTTATTTTTATTGTAAAGTCAGATATACATAGAAGGAGAGAGGAGCATCTTCCATCAGATGATTCACTTACCAGGTGGCCGCAATGACCAGAGCTGTGCTGATCCAAAACCAGGAGCCCGGAGTTTCCTCCAAGTCTCCTACCTGGGTTCAGGGTCCCAAGACTTTGGGCTGTCCTTAACTGCTTTCCAGACCACAGGCAGGGAGCTGGATGGGAAGTGGGGCCACAGGGACACATACCGGTGCCCACATGGGATCCCAGTGCATGCAAGGCAAGGACTTTGGCCACTAGCTACCACACCGGGCCCATTATTATGCTCCTGCATTTTTAAAAATAGCATTCTACTAGTAAGAGCTCCGTCCTTCTCTTCTCTTATTGAATGGGTTGTAATCCATTCCTACCATTATTCATTTGGATGAGAGCCTTCCAGCTAGCTCCCACATCCTGCTGATAGACCATCAATTTCTTGAATACATCCTTCCTTTGACATTCAAGATGTCAAGGCTCATCTTCAACATTCCCTGCCCTAGATCAGGAACTGGCAATTGAGTCACTGGTGTTAGTGGTGCTTGCTGCTACCTGGATGTCACTGCCTCCAGGCTCTCCATCAGAGCTGAGAAATATGCAGGTGCGTAGAGTTTAATCATGAGTACATATCGACACCTAACTCCAATCCAGCAAGTTATCCAGAGACAGTGATTAAGACACCACTCTGCACAGCTGGGATCCCAAAACAGCATGCCTGGATTTGAGTTCCTGGGAGATCAAGGAATAGAGGCGGCAGCCAGCGCTGGCTCAAGTGTTCGGGTGGTGCTACTCCTAGGAGACGCACAGGCCGGACCAGGATCCTCGCTTTGGCCTGGCCCAGATCTCACTACTGGCAAGTTCATCAGTTCTTGCAAGATCTATCTCTATTGCTCTTTCAAACAAACAAATAAAACGTTTTTTCTTTATAAAGATATATGGAACTGAAGAAAGCAATAAAGTTTTACTTATTTATTTAAGAGGCAGAGAGTGTGTGGAGGAAGGGAAGAGTTCCTTTCCACTGGTGACCATTCCAAACACCTTCAATGTCCAGGGCGAGGCCAGGCCAAAGCCAGATGCCATGTCCCATGTACAGACAGGGGCTGAGAACTTGGGCCATCTTGACAGAGAGATGCATAGGAAATGGGGTAACCAATATTCAAATTGGACCTCCAAAATGGGATGCTATCATTGCAGGTGGCACCTTAACTTGTTGTGCCACGGGACAAATGAGACAGTGGCCTCTATATTTAAAAAAAAATACATATTTCTTTATTTAAAAAGTAAAGCAACAGAGAGGGTGAGGCAGACAGAGATATCTTCCTATTGTTGATCCACTTCACAAACAGCTACAACAGCCAGGGATGGGCTCGGCTCAAACTAAGCCAGGAGCTTCATCGTCTCCCACGTGGACGGCAGGGGTCCAAGTACCTGGGCCACTTTTCCTGTTTTCCCAGGCATGTTATCAGGAAACCGGATTGGAAGGGGCCAGGACTTGAACTAGCTGACATCTCAAGCTGTGGTCTAACCCACAATGTCAACCCCTCTGATATGTATTTTTATTTCTCTTCTTCCACAGCGAAACCTCTAGCTCTCAAAATGGCAATGATTTGCTCAATGATGCAATTCACATAACAGTTTCAGAATTGCTATACATTTAGCATACAAGCAAGAGCCTACTACACAGAGTTCAAGATTCTCTTTTTCTCGGTTCTTTTTTTCTCTAGATTAAGGGCATACAAAGTGCTACACTTAAAACTCACTTTGATTAATTTTCCTTCTGGGAACTGACATCCCTTTTTGAAATACAATTGGCTCATTTGTTGTTATTTCTAAGGTTAAGCTTCTCTCCACTCTTACTAATTTTATATTGGAGCATCTGAAAGATTGGCAAGTTTCCAAAACTCAAAACTATACAAAGAAGTATTTCCAAAGCAATGCCATGCCTTCCGCTATCTCAATTTAGTCAAGTCCCATTACTTCCTGTAGGTAAGTAAGTGGTTTCTGGGACAATTGTAAAGGAAAATTATAAAAGTGTCTTCCAGAAGACGCACCCGCTGGAGCAGCCAGCTGTTGCTTCGGATGCCCACATTCTACATCAGAGTAGTTGGATTCAAGTTTTGCCTCTGCTCTTGATTCCAGCTTCCTGTTGGCACACCCCTTGGGAAGCAGCACCTGTTGGCTCTCACACCTGAATCCCCCTGAATCCCCAGCACACAAGTGGAAGATCTAGACTGAGTTGCCAGCTGCCGGCTCTGAGCAGGCCCAGCCTTGGTTGGTGACGTTATTAAAAGACGTGGACAGTGGATGGGAGATCTCTTTCTGCCTTTCAAATAATTAAAAACATTTTCCTTTCTGGTTTAACTTGAGAGCTAACAAAGGGGTCTCATATCACAAACTGTAACCATCCTGATGAGTTGCATCCACTCCAGAACACTCACCTTAAAAAGAGGCTTATTCGGGAAAAATACTTCAGCCATCACTACCTACTAACGTCAACAGGGCAAGCTCTGCCCTACGAACAGATCAACGTAAATTCTGAACAAGGCACTTAACCAGGTGAGGGAAGAGGAGAACTGAGGTGAGAATGTGTATAATAGCGTGGAAAGACAGTGATGGTCACGCCCAGGCAACACACAGCAATCTCTGGCATGTCTGGGAAATTTTACGCACACACTTACAAGTTACTGAGGTCACTCCTCACACGGACACCAAGCTCAGGTAGCACAAACAGAATCTGGACTTCAGAGAGAGAGGTGCTGCCCTGAATCCTAGCTGAGTTACTCAACATCCCACAGGCAAGGTAATGTGGCCAAGTTACTAAGAGATACAAATAGAACAATGTATAGCATTGCTCCCGGCTCAGGACAGATGCTTCGCCTGGAACCAGCAACACTTCCATCCCACGCGAGCACGGAGGCTCCACTTGCAAACCTGACACAGCAGGAGATGACCCAACGACCCCGTGGGGGAGACCTGGACAGAGCTCCTGGCCCAGCCCCAGCCACTGCAGGCACTTGGTAGTGAATCTGTGGATGGAAGATCTTTCTCTTTCCCTCCCTCCCATCCCCCAGCTCTACAACACTGCCTTTCAAACAATAAATCTTTTACAATGAACAAATCTTATACTACACACAGATCAGACTAGTTAACAAGGTATAGCACAACAGCCAGCCGACTTCAATAACACAGATGAAAGCAGCAAGGGGGTCACATCATCTCAGCAGCTACTTGCTAAGTGCAGCAAAATGCCCAACACTTCGCTCCAATTCTTAATTTTGAGATTGCCCCAGAGTCCATTTTTAAAGTGTAGAAATACGTGCTGACATACTTTAACGTCAGTGATTTAAAACGACCCTACAGGTTAGCAGAGCCCAATGACTCGCAATAATGTGCTAAAGAACGTCTGCGGTTCAGAGCAGCAAGTGTGCCAGTGTATCGCCAGCCATATTATGCATCCGTTTGGCGATCTGGCACCAGGGCAGACACAAAAGGGTTGCCAAAATGGTGTTTTTAAAGTTTCTAGTTCCCCTACAAAATGAAGCAGAACATCCTCAGAGGATCTTTAAACCAAACTCTGCCCCTCCAATCAGGATCAGACAGCCGAGCGTTGAAGTGCGACGGCAGACTCCGAGCACACTCTTCAGTGGACCGGTCCCCGGCTGCCCTGCCAACTCCCGACACCCCCGCCCCCACCTTAACCAAGCCTCGAGAGCTCCTTCTCCCTGCCAGGAGATGAACTTCGGGGTCACCATCTCCAGCAGCAACGCCGAGAAGCGCTGACAATAAAAGTTTTCATCAGCGATTACATCTCCAAGATCTTAAGAAAACTGCCCAGCAACTCCGTCAGAGGCTAGGGAGGACAGAAATCCACCCTCGCCCTTCCTCGAGCGAGAAAGGGCAGAAAAGGGAAAAGAGGCGAAACCACAAGGCTTTTCTTTCCATCAATAATAACCAGAGTCGGTTCTTAAACTTTTGAAAATACAACCTTTCACCACCGGAGAGCAATAAACAAAGGATGAGGCCATCGTTCGCGTTTTGAAGAAAAGAGAAAGACAAAAGAAAAACTCTTCCGTCGTGAATTTCCAAGTACCCTAAACCCCAAAATCGCACCCACCACCGGTGGGCTTAAAACGCGAGACCGCCCGACCCGTTTTCGCACTCAGTGGAGAACTTTTCAGAGCGTTCCCGGCTCTCTCTACCCACCACCACTCCCGGGCAGCCCCGAACATCCGCTATTTTCCGGGCAAGCAGGAGCTCGCGCGGGCTTCTCCACCCAATCCCCCGCCCGGAGAAAACGGGGAGAGGAACCCGGGGTCTGCAGGACCCGCAGGACGGGCGTCCCAGCCACCCAGGAAGTGCCCCAGACGGCGTCCCCTCGAGGGCCGGTCCCGGCGCAGCAGCGGCGCGCAGCCGAGGGGCGCCGGTCCCTTCAGGGCAGCGTCGGGGCCCCGGGGCAGCCGGCCCCGAAGTCCACCCGGGGCGGATTCCAGCGGAGCTAGCCCCGCGCGGCGACCCCACGCCACCCGCCCTCCTCCGACAGCCCGGGGATCACAGCTCGCGCGCGCTCGCCGCCCACCTGGATGGATGGAGCTGGGGTCCGCGTCTCCCTGAGGCCGCCCGGGTCCTCCCGGCGCTCAGCCGCCCCTCGAGCCACGAAGCCGGCGTGCAGAGCGCGGCGCGGCTCGCAGCTCCGCCGGCCACACCCAGGTCCGCCCTCCCAGCCGCCAAGTCCGCTGCGCGCCGGGGCCGGGGCGGGGACGTGGCGCGAGGCGCGAGGCTCGAGGCGCGAGGCACGAGGCGCGCGGGCCGGGCGGGGACGCGCCTGCGCAGCCCCGGAGCGCGCGGCCCGAGCAGGGGCGGGGGGCCGCAGGGAGCCGGCGCCGCGCGCAGCTTCTGCTTCCTATTTTCTGTCTCGTTTCCTGCTACAAGGCAGGGGGGTGAGGGGGCCTTTGAATTCCCGGGCGGTTTCGTTTTCTCGTCGGCTTCGGCTCCCGGACGCCTCGGCCGGGCAGCGCCCGTCGAAGTGCGGCCGCTTTCCCTCCCGGGAGCGCGCTGGCGTCGGTGTGCACTCGCGCTGGGGCGTGGGGTAGAGCGGGGACCCCCAGGGTTCCGCCAGGGTGAACATTGCGCCTTTCTCCACGCACCAACGCAAACTGCAGCCCAGAGCTAGACCAGAGTACCCTGAAGGGCCTGTTCTCGCATCACTGCTGGGACCGCCTCGGGGGCCCGGATCCATTACAAACACGTTAGGAGCGACACCTGCCTCACAAAGGTGCTAAAAATACTAAGTAGGGTTCGCCCTGAGCCCGGCTGCAAGTTAACGCCCAGCACTTGGGAGCCCTTGTTACTGGAGTCCCTGGTGAAACTGGAAGGCCTCGCAGATGGCCCTGCCAAGTCTCTGCATGAGTTAAACGCCACATGCATCTCAATCCACTTTCCCCCACATTTCTCTGGAGGTCTTTTATGTTGAAAATGCCACAAAATAAATGCACTTCTCCAATTTGCTTCCTCTGAAGTCAAGAACCGCCTGGGAGCATTTTTTTCTCTCCCTGCCCCCCCCCTTCCTTTGGAGTTAATTCCAGTTTGACAGACGGTTGCTATAGCAGTCCTTCTCTGACGTCAAACGATTTAAAGACACAGCCCTGGGTAACTCCATTGCACAGGAGTTCTTGGTGGAGTTTCTGTGCACGAGAAAGGTTTGAACCGTTATCAGAAGAGAGCCTGACACCCCCGCAGCTCTCCGCTCCTCCGTCTTTAACTGCTTCCCACTATCACCTGGAATAAATCTAGCGGCACCTTACCGACGAGGATGCCAAAATAGGCTCCGTGTGCTTGCGACTGTGGGAAAAAATGTGGCCGTCTTATATAAAAGACCATGACGAAAGTGAAACACTCGTAGTACGAAGATGATGAAATTGTTTTTTTTTCCAATCCAGATTTTCGTTTTTCCGCAGTGGGGCGGGGGGTGGGGGGGGAGCTTTCTGTGAGAAAGAAAAAGGAAAAACATCAAATCTCTGTGTATGTCTCAGCGTCCGCCCAGGCGGTGGGGGCCTGAGTGGTGCGCCCCTGGAACCATGTAGGCATCGATCTGATTGCCTCCCTGACTCTTCCCTTGTCATTTTTGAGAGATGGTAGTACCGGAGGACCTGCTCCAGAGCTGCTTTCTGCTTCTTCTGTGAGTTGTGTGTTTTACTCCCATTTTACAGGGAAGTAAACCGAGGTTGAGGAAGATTAAGCACATTACCTGGAGCCGCATGGGGAGTGGCAGAGCCTCGCGTGGTATTGGATTGCTTCCCCTCCAAGGCCAATTTTATTTCCTCTGATTCCTTTCTGCCGTGTTCCTGTGCACTGTCACTTAACAGACATTTAAGGGCTTTGAGAGGTTAAGATTGATTGCGTGTTGGAAAACCCAGTGGAAAGCAGTGAGATATTCTAAGACAGCAAGGGATCGGGGCAAAATAGAAATTCACATCCCTTAACACAAAATGCACAACCTGGAAAACAAGAGTTTTCCTGCTTAGAGATGGCTTGGGAGTAGCTGATTTCAACCTGCCTGAAAAGCTTATGTGGGCAGAGAAATTACTAGAAGAAGCAAATGGAATGCAAGCGAGGAAGGCTTCGTTACTGTCCAAAGTAAGCCACCTCCAAGAATATTGTATTTCTGTTTTGCCACCTCTGCTGCCTCTCCCTTTGAAGAGAACACTTACTTGTGGAGAAGTGTATACTGCAAAGCTCCAAGTGGGGCTGCTGAAAAGCATGCATTACCAGGAACAATTTCCTCACAGTACATTAATGTGTCTGAGTGTTTTGGCAGTTCACAAGTTTTTCCAATGATAATGGCATCCAAAGGCGGGGGAGATTATTAACTTTTTTGATGTTTGTTTTTGGAGATAGTTATGTTGATGTATCCCACTTCTAAGGATTCAGGCCAGTTAGCTTTTGTTTGGGTGTCACTAGCCAGTATTTAGATTTCTAGCCCATTACACACCTGTTCTCAAAACCTATTGTATTAAGGGAGGTTGGTGGGTTCCCTGCTTTGAAAGTAGAGTCACTGTTGTTCCATCCTTTTGTTGCAGGATTTTTGACTCCGAGTATGGCAGCAACCTCAAATTCTTGTCTCGCAGGAAAGAAGAATTTTCATGCGGACACAGTTTAGTTTTAACGCAAGATTTATTAGAAAAGCTGAGAAGAGAAGACTCCCGTCCTAGTGACAGGAGGGGGTTTTGAGATAGAAAAGACCCTTACCCCCTGCCATAGTGGCAGGAGGAAAATAGAAACCCTAGTGTGGGAAATGCACCTTTTAAAGGTTTCCCTCAAAGATGTTTCTCCATAAAAAAAGAAAATTCCTTGTTTCCGTGGCACCTGGCCTTGGGACAAAAGCTCACAGAGATACCAGACATAAGACATTCCAGGCCTCAGGCAGATGTGTATTACTTCTTCCTGCTCTCCTTTCAATGATAAAGAGATCAGCCTGAGGCCCTCCCACAATGGCCAGAGGTAGTGGCCGATACTTCAGGTGGGGAATTGATATGCTAATAGCACCCCTGTCCCTTGGAAGAGCTGTGCTCTGGTGAATCCAAGACATGGTGGGGAAATTCTCTTTTACTTGGGGACCCCCAATACCCTAACTGCCTACTACCCACTCTAACTCCTCTCTCACTTTTATCTCCCCTGGTATCTACCAGAATACCTTGCAGCACTAGGCCCTTAACGAACAAATAAATGAGAGAATGCACTTGTCTTACGCAAGTAGCATTCATAGCTAATCCCACCTCCTTTTCCTACTCAGAATCTCAGTAAAGGGGCAAGTGAGTTTACAGTTGCTCATGCAGAGTTTCCCTGTGAGCAAACTCTAGTTCCAGGTTTGTGCATTGGACAAATCTGAATCTTGTTCTCAGACTGCCACAGGCTTGTAAGCCTACCCTTAAATCATACCCTAGAACTGGTCTGCTTTTTTTCTTTACAAGCTTACCTTGCTCTTAGACAATGCTCAGTACACTTTGAAGAGTAGAAGGATTCAAGTATATAATTTTTTCTGTACTGTCCTAAATCTGTTATATGTGTTTTGGATGAAGCCAGGTTATATTTCCACAATCTTGTAACTAAACTAACATGTTTCAACTACAACAAAATAACTTTAAAAACAGTAAATGGATATTGTCTGATACAATCTGCAATATAGTGATGTGAGAAGCTGTGTTGTTGCAAAGAGACAGCCTTGACACAGAGCAGTCAGGTCTACACCCTTCCCACTTGCTTATGCACAGTGCCTTTCTGGATCAGCTTTCTTTACAGCTTGCGTTTTAAGCCTCTTTGATGACCTCTCTGGCACTCCTGGTACATACCAGTTACAGAGCAACTGTCTTTCTGCTCAGGATCTCATGTGCTATGTCAATATGGAATCCATCATCCACAGCATTCCTATGACCTTAGAAGAATGCTGCTCTTAGCTAAACTTAACTGTTGCAGCAGTGTTGAGACATACCAGCTTGGGTCTCTGTTGCCAGCCGCATCTATGCACTGGCCACATGCCGTACCCAAAATGGCGCCGGCCAGAGAAGCCACACCTTGGTGCCTGGTGGAGAGTCACGTAGCTTTCGCGGTACTGCGCAGGCGCCTAGCGCATGCGCAGTGAGCTGTGGCGTGGCCAGCGCATGAACACTGGGGACTGACGAATCCGGTCGCCCAGGACCCTGCGTGATCATGACGCCGACCTATCATCGGCGGAGGCGGGGCCAGTCAGCACATAAGAGCAAACAGCCTGCCGGGGTCGGAGCCCTTTCCTCTTCCTCATCTTGGTGCGCGCAATAAAGTTTACCGCAGAAGGCTTCACTCGCGTCTGCCTTTTATTGCTGGACGGTAAGACACGTGGGCGCGACAGGTCTCTACCAACAACACCAGCATCTTCTTTGGGCACCAATTCATAGCTCAGTTGCTCTAGCTCCCTGCTAATGTGCCTGGGAAGGTGGTGGAGGATGGCCTGAGCATTTGGGCACTTGCCAACTGTGTGAGACCTAGATGAATAAGCTCTTGGCTCCTGACTTTGGCCAGGCCCAGCTAGGCTGTTGTAGCCATTTGAGAAGTGAACCAGTGGATGGAAGATCATTCTCTCTCTTTCTTTCTGTAACTCTGACTTTTGAATAAATAAAATAAATCTTTGGGTTAAAAAAATTGATAACAAGCATGGAAGCGTGTTGAACAAGCAACCAGCATATATTTGTTACTCTATGTGTTGTGATTCTGGTGTCTGGGATCTGTGTTTGGGAAGGGACATGGAAGAGTGGCACGAACTCCAAAATGTGTTCCAGACCTGGTTTAAAGCTGTTGGTCTTCAACAGATCACTGCTTACCTACACTCTGTCTTATGTAACCATTCTAGCATGATTGGCAAAGCAGATAGCACTGGTGCCATCCCTCGGTACTGTGCCTCGCAGATGACTTTGCAAATCAGTCACACACTCTTCTTTTAAGCTTCATCTCATTTCAAGAATCTTCTCAAGGCCTGGCATTGTGGCACCACATGTTAAGCCACTGCTTGTAACACCTGAATCCTGTGTGAGAGTGCCAGTTTGAATCCCAGCTGCTCTGCTTCTGATCCAGCTCCCTGTCAAAGGACCTGGGGAAGCAACAAAGGATGGCTCAAGTGCTTAGGCTGCTGCGCCCACATGAGAGAACCAAAAGAAGCTCCTAGATCCTGTCTTTGGACTGGCTCAACTCAGCATTATTATAGTT